TAGAGACAGGATTTCACCATGTTGTTGAGGTTGGTCTTGAACTCCTGGGCTCAAGCAATTCACCTGTCTCAGCCTCCCAAAGTGTTGGGATTACAGGCATGAACCACTGTCCAGCCAATTTTTCTAGTTCTTTAAGATACATCATTGAGTTATTTATTTCAAGTTTTTCTACTTTTTTGATGTAGGCACTCACTACTATAAACTTTCCTCTTAGTACTGCTTTCACTCTATCTCATAAGTGTTGTTATGTTTTCATTTTCATTTTATTCAAGAAATTTAAAATTTTTATTCTTAATTTCTTCATTGATCTGCTGGGCATTCAGGAGCAAGTTGTTTAATTTTCATGTGTTTGTATAGTTTCCAAAATTCCTCTTGTTACTGACTTCTAGTTTTAGTCCACCATGGTCAGAGAGGATACTTGACATAGTTTCAATTTTTTTTTTTTTAATTTTTAAAGATTTGTTTTGTGGCCTAACATGGTTTATTCTTCAAGATGATCAAGAATACTCATTCTTGCTGAGAAGAATGTGTATTCTGCAGCCATTGAATGAAAAGTTTTGTAAATATCTATTAGATCCATTAGGTCTATATTGTAGACTGATGTTTCTTTGTTGATTATCTGTGTGGATGATCTGTTCAGTGCTGAAAGTAGGGTGTTGAAGTCTCCAGCTATTAAGGTACTGGGGTCTATTGCTCTCTTAAGCTCTAATATGTATATTTATAATTGTTATATCCTTTTGCTTAATTGACCCCTTTATCATTACATAATGGCCTTTGTTGTCTCTTTTTATATTTGTCCTGAAATCTATTTTGGCTGATATAAGCATAGCTATCCTTGCTCTTTTTTTGGTTTTCATTGGCATGGAATCTTTTTCTATCTCTTTATTTTCACTCTATAGTTGTCTTTTTTGTTTTTTCTTTTTTTTTTTTTGAGAGGGAGTTTCACTCTGTCACCCAGGCAATGGCGTGATCTTGCCTCACCACAACCTCTGCCTCCCGGATTTAAGCAGTTCTCCTGCCTCGGCCTCCCAAGTAGCTGGGATTACAGGCATGTGCCACGACGCCCGGCTAATTTTGTATTTTTAGTAGAGACGGGGTTTTGCTACGTTGACCAGGCTGGTCTTCAACTCCTGACCTTAGGTGAACCGTGCGCCTTGGCCTCCCAAAGTGTTGGGATTATAGACGTGAGCCACCATGCCAGGCTTACATGTGCCTTTATAGGTGACATGTTTTTCTTATAGGCAACAGATCATTGTTTTGGGTTTTTTTTTCTTTTTTGAGACAGAGTTTTGTTCTTCTTTCCCAGGCTGGAGTACAATGGCATGATCTCGGCTCACCGCAACCTCTGCCTCCTGGATTCAAGTGATTCTCCTGCTTCAGCCTCCTGTGTAGCTGGGGTTACAGGCATGCACTACCACGCCTAGCTAATTTTGTATTTTTAGTAGGGATGGGGTTTCTCCGTGTTGGTCAGGCTGGTCTCGGACTCCCAACCTCAGGTGATCTGCCCACTTTGGCCTCCCAAAGTGCTGGGATTATAGGCGTGAGCCACTGCACCCAGCCTCTTTTCTACTTTTTTGAGACAGCATCTCACTCTGTCAGCCAGGCTGGAGTGAGGTGGCATGATCTCTGCTCACTGCAACTTCTGCCTCCCAGGTTCAAACGATTTTCATGCCTTAGCCTCCTGAGTAGCTGGGATTATAGCTTGCGCCACCATACCCAGCTTATTCTTTCTATTTTTAGTAGAGATAGGCTTTCACTGTGTTAGCCAGGCTGGTTTCTAGCTCCTGGCCTCGAGTAATCTACCCACCTTGGCCTCCCAAAGTGCTGGGATTTCAGGTGCGAGCCACCACATTTGGCCCATAACTGTATTTTTAAATAACCTGTCATCAAGCTCACTGATTCTTTCTTTTGCTTGATCAGTTCTGCTGTTGAGAGACTGTAATGCATTCTTTAGTATGTTAATTGAATTTCTCAGCTCCAGGATTTCTGCTTTTTAAAATTGTTTCAATATCTTTTTTATATTTATCTGATAGGATTCTGAATTCCTTCTCTTCTCTTAAATTTCATCGAATTTCTGCAAAAGAGCTATTTTGAATTCTTTGTCTCTAAGGTCATATAACTCTCACTCCAACATTGGTCCACTGGTGCCTTATTTACTTCATCTGGTGAGGCATGTTTTCCTGTATGGTCTTGATATTTGTGGATGTTCATTGATGTCTGGGCATTGAAGAATTCGATATTAATTGTAGTCTGTGAACAGTGTGCTTGTTTGTACCCATTCTTCTTGGGAAGGCTTTCCAAGTACTCAAAGAGAGTTGAGTGTTGTGATCTAAGTCTTGGTCACTACAGTGTGTATCTGCATTAGGGGGCACCCCGAACCCAGTAACGCTGTGACTCTTGCATACTTGTAGAGGTACTCCTTTGGTGGTCTTGCGTAAGATCTGAGAGAATTTCCTGGATTACCAGACAGACTCTTTTTCTCTTCTCTTTCTTTTGCCCAAACAAACAGATTCTCTCTCTCTGTCCATGCTAAGCGGTCTGGAGCTGGGGGTAGGGTTACACAAGCCCCTCTATGGCTACTACCACTAGGACTGCACTGGGTCAGACCCAAAGCTAGCACATCCCTGGGTCCTGCCCAAGTCCTGCAATGGCCACTGCCTGGTTACTGCTAGTGTTCACTCAAAACCCAAGGTCTGCACAGTCAGTGGGTAGCAAACCCAGCCAGGTTTGTGGCCTTCCTTTCAAGGTGGCAAGCTCCTCACCAGCCTAGGGCAGATCCAGAAATTCTATCCAGGAGCCAGGGCCTGGAGTCAGGAAACTCAGAAATCTACCTGGTGCTCTGTTCTACTGTGACTGAGCTGGCACCCAAGCTGCAAGATAAAGCCCTTCTCAATCTTTTTTTTGTTTTGTTTTCTGGAATGGAGTCTTACTCTGTCACCCAGGCTGGAGTGCAATGGCATGATCTCATCTCACTGCAACCTCCACCTCCTGGGTTCAAGCGATTCTCCTGCGTCAGTCTCCTGAGTAGCTGGGACTATAGGCATGTGCTACCATGCTTGGGTTCATTTTTGTATTTTTAGTAGAGATGGGGTTTTACTATGTTGGCCAGGCTGGTCTTGAACACCTGGCATCTAGTGATCTGCCCACCTCGGCTTCCCGAAGTGCTGGGATTACAGGTGTGAGCCACCACATCCAGCCCCCTTCTCATTCTTACCTCTCCTTTGTTCAAACTGAAGGAGTCTCTCCTTGTGGCCACCACTGCCCCAGACTCGTGGCAAATACTGCCTGGCTACTACCAATGTTCATTCAAGGTCCAAAGGCTCTTCAGTTAGCTTGTGAATGCTGCCAAGCCTGGATCTCTCTCCCTTCAATGAAGCGGGCTCCCCTTTGGCCTAGGGCAGGTCCAAAAATGCTATCCAGGAGCCAAGGCCTGAAACTGGGAACCCCTGAAGCCCAGTTCATGCTCTGCCTCACTATGGCTGAGCTGGTACCCAAGCTATAAGACAAAGTCCCCTCACTCTTCCATTTTCTTTCCTTAAGCAGAATAAGTCTCTGCTCATGGTCCTCACAGCTGGGAATGTATTGGGTCACACCTGAAGCCAGCATGGCACTGAGTGTCACCTAAGGCCTACATCAAATACTACCTGGCAGATACAAAATGTTTATTCAAGGCCCAAAGGCTCTCTCTCTCTTTTTTTTTTTTTGACCGAGTCTTGCTCTGTCTCCCACCTGTATCAAATACCACCTGGAAGATACAAAATGTTTATTCAGGTCTTTTTTTTTTTGGACAGAGTCTTGCTCTGTCTCCTAGGGTGGAGTGCAGTGGCACAATCTTGGCTCACTGCAACCTCCACCTTCCAGGTTCAAGTGATTCTCATACCTCAGCCTCCCAATAGCTGGGATTGCAGGTGACTGCCACCATGCCTGGCTAATTTTTGTATTTTTAGTAGAGGCCAGGGTGGTTTTGAACTCCTGATCTCAAGTGATTCATCTGCCTTGGCCTCCCTAAGTGCTGGCATTACGTGCATGAGCCACCGCACCTGGCCAAGGCCCAAGGGCTCTTTAATCAGCAAGTGATGAATGTTGCTAGGACAGTGTCCTTCCTTTCAAGACAGCAGATTACCTTCTGCCCCAGGGTGTGTATAGAAATGTTTTCAGGGAGTTAGTGTCTGAAATGGGGGCCTTGTGACTCTGCCTGCTGCCTTGTTGTGGCTGAGCTATTATCTGAGTTGCAAAACAAAGTGCCCTTAATCTCCCCTCTTCTCTTCTCAAGCAGGAAGAAGGAGTTAACTCTCCAGAGTTATGAGCTGTGCTGCCTGGGTGCAGGGGGGAGTGCGACAAGCACTCTATTGGCCACCCCAGCAGGAGTCTCACTAGGTCATATGTATCCCAGGTCCACTGGCTTCAAGCCCAGCACAGCACCAGAACTTGCCCAGGAATTACAGTCCTTGCTGCCTAGACTGCCTTTCAAGTTTATTTAGCACCCCAGAGTGCTTTAGTCCACAGTGTCAGGGCTAGCTGGAAATCAGGTTCAGACCACTGGGATGGGCAACGCCCCTTTGGCTAGCGCTGGTCTAAATGCTCCCCCCATAGGCACTGACTGAATTCTGCCCTGTGTTGGTTTCCACTGTGGTAGGCAGCACTGAGTTCCAAATCTGTACACCTGGAGAAGTGCAGTGATTTGCATCCCACAATCACTGCACTTCTCCAGGTGTACCGATTCTCTGTACCATGTGGCTGCTGCCACTGCCTAGGAATGGGAGAGCGGTGATGTTGGCAATTCTAGACTCTTTCTTCCCCCTTCAGTGCCTCTTTCCTTAATATAATGTTAAAACCAGGCCTGTGATTGCTTACCTGATTTTTTATTCTTATGAAGGTGCTTTCTTGTATGGATAGTCCTTCAGTTTGCTTTCCTGCAGGAACACTAACTGGAGGGCTCTATTTGGCCATCTTGCTTTGCCTCCTCCTAAGACTTTTTTAACTGAATTTTTCCCCTCCAGATACATGTCCTGAAACTGAACAAAATGGAACTGTTACCATTTCATGCTGATGTGGAGATTGGCCGGATTATAGAAATCCCCATTGCAATGTATCACGTAAATAAAGAGACGAAAGAAGCCATGGCATTCACAGACTGCTCTCATTTATCCTTGGATCTGAACATGGATAAACAAGGGGTCTTTACTCTTCTCAAAGGAGGTAAAAGTAGCCTTTTTATCACCTTCTTCCTTTGTCTTTATGTGCATCAAATGCCTCCTCATTTCACAGATGTAGAAACAAAGGCACAGAAACTGAATAACATTGTAGCTGGATGATGCCAGTTTTTGTTTGTTTGTTTGTTTATCTGCTTTGAGACAGTCTCACTTTTGTCACCCAGGCTGGAGTGCAGTGGATCTCGGCTCACTGCAACCTCCGCCTCCTGGGTTCAAGTGATTCTCCTGCCTCTGCCTCCCAAGTAGCTGGGATTACAGACGCCCACAACCACGCCTGGCTAATTTTTGTATTTTTAGTAAAGATGGGGTTTCACCATGTTGACCAGGCTGGTCTTGAACTGCTGACCTCAGGTGATCTGCCTGCCTCAGCCTCCGTGTCGGGATTACAGGTGTGAGCCACCACACTCGGCCAGTTTTTATTTTTATTATAATTATTTTTAGAGACAGGTTCTTGCTGTGTCACACAGGCTGGAGTGCAGTGGTGCAATCATAGATCACTGTAACCTCGAGCTCCTGGGCCCGGGCTATCCAATCTCAGCCTTTTAAGTAGCTGGGATTACAAGGGCAAGCTCAGTATCAGATTTTAGTTCACAGTAAGTAAGGTTTTCCCTTTCTAGCCTCAAGCTCTTTTCTTCTTTCTTTCCCTAATATACATACCATATATCTTTCAAAGAGGAATGTAAAGCCATTTAATATATGCATACATTAAATGTATTGAAAAAGGATAAATATTTTTCTAATAAAACAGAAAATATGAGTAAACTATTCCTAAAAGTCAACGTTCTCTCCTGCTATTGAACTTCATATTTTCATCAGTATAATGACAGTAGTAACAACAGCTAAGATTTTCTTAGCATTTACTCTTTGCCAAGCTCTGTTCTGCATACTTTTTATACATTAACTATTTAATTCTTACATCTATAAGCTTGATATCAAATTGGACTTTTATTTTGCCTTTGCTCATTATGCTACATACATACATACATACATACTCACTCTCACATCTCTCTTTTTTCCCCTCAGAGTATCTCTTCTAATTTTTAGACCCTTATTTCCCATGTGGGACAACAAAATCCTTCTGACTAGTCTTACCTCTGGCTGCCAGATGGATCTTCATGAAGTCAACTTTGATATTACTTTTTCTGCTCAAAAATTTTGAAAGACTTATTGCCAGTGAAATGGAGCCAACATCTTTTAGTTTGGTATTCAAGATTCCTCCACAATATAACCCGATCTACTTTTCATTATTTCATACTTCAGCTTTGTATATGGTTCTAACTGAATCAAGTACTTTATTTATTTTTATTTTTTGTTTTACTTTGGTTTTTGGTTTTTTGTTTTTTTTTTTCTTTGAGACAGAATCTCACTCTGTCGCCCAGGCTTGCAGTAGCTCCATCTTGACTCACTGCAACCTCCGCCTTCCAGGTTCAAGCAATTCTCATCCCTCAGCCTCCCAAGTAGCTGGGCCTACATGCACATGCCACCACACCCGGCTAATTTTTGTATTTTTAGTAGTAGTTTAGTAGTTTCACAGTGTCGTCCAGGCTGGTCTCAAACTCCTGACCTCAAGTGATCTGCCCACCTCAGCCTCCCAAAGTGCTGGGTTTATAGGTGTGAGCCACCATGCCCAGCTAAATCAACTACTTTAAATTCTCTCATATATATCTCTCATATTCTCATTTATATCTCATTTGTATTTCTTTGTTCATTCTGTTTTCTCAGCCTGAGATACTTTAAACTTTCCTTGATCTCTCCAGCTTGAAATAATCTATTTTCTGGACTTCTATACTATTTATCACTTTCTATTAATGTTTTAAGTGAATTATTTACATGTTCACTTTCCCCTTGAAACTATAAATGCTTGAGGTCAGGATCTTTGCTCATATATGTATGTATGTATGTGTGTGTATATATATATATATATATATATATATATATATATATATAGTCTCACTGTACATAGAACTGTATCTCATACATGTTTCTCAATAGAAATAACAGATTTTTATATAAACTTGATATAAAGGGCCTAATGGTTAATGGTTAATGTAAGAGATCAAGGTGGTTTTGTTTTATTTTGGTTTGTTTTTCTGAGATGGAGTCTTGCTATTGTTGCCTAGGCTGGAGTGTAGTGGCACTACTTGGCTCCTGCAACCTCCACCTCCCAGGTTCAAGCAATTCTCCCTGCCTCAGCCTCCCAAGTAGCTGGGATTACAGGTGCCTGCTACCATGCCCGGCTAATTTTTGTATTTTTAGTAGAGATGGGGTTTCGCCATGTTGGCCTTGCTGGTCTCGAACCCCTGACCTCAGGTGATCCGCCTGCTTCGGCCTCCCAAAGTACTGGGATTACCGGCGTGAGCCTCTGCACCTGGCCAAGATTGTATTAAAACTCTTATATTTCTGTAGCTTAATTTCCTTTAGAATTAACTGCTTGTTACCCTATGAAATTATATTTGTTTTGGGGTTTTTTTTTTTTTAAGCAGGGTCTTACTCTGTTGCCCAGGCTGGAGTGTAGTGGCACAATCATGACTCACTGCAGCCTCGACCTCCTGGATTCAAACTATCCTCCTTCCTCAGCCTCCTGGGTATCTGGGTCTACAAGTGTACGCCACCATGCCTGGATAATTTTTTAATATTTTATAGCAATGGGGTTTTGCCATGTTTCCTAGGCTGGTCTTGAACTTCTGAGCTCAAGCAGTCGGCCTGCCTCAGCTTCCCAAAGTTCTGGGATTACAGGCCTGAGCCACCACACCCTGCCAAGATCATGTTTTTTTGATTCACAGGTATTCAAAGACCTGGACCAATGCATTGTTCCAGTATATATATGGCAGCTAAGTCACTCGGTCATACTCTGGTAACAGTAAGTGTGAATGAATGTGAAGAGTACTTGGAGAGCAGTGCCACGTTTGCTGCTTATGAACCCCTAAAGGTAAGATATTTCATGGTAAGGAACTGGCATTTCTTTTTTTTTTGAGGCGGAGTTTCGCTCCCGTTAGTTACCCAGGCTGGAGTGCAATGGCGCGATCTCGGCTCACTGCAACCTCCGCCTCCTGGGCTCAGGCAATTCTCCTGCCTCAGCCTCCCGAGCAGCTGGGACCACAGGCACGCGCCACCATGCCCAGCCAATTTTTTTTTGTATTTTTAGTAGAGACGGGGTTTCACCATGTTGACCAGGATGGTCTCGATCTCTTGACCCCGCGATCCACCCGCCTCGGCCTCCCAAAGTGCTGGGATTACAGGCGTGAGCCACCGCGCCCGGCTGGAACTGGCATTTCTTTTAATGGACTCAACTATGTCCTCATGGGCTTGCTAGCTATCTGTGGTCTCTACTAAGGATCAATGACATTTATATTCTCTTTACTTGCCATTCTTTTGTTTTCAGATCTATAGCTCTCTCCTCAAACCTGTCTCCAGGGAGTTTACTCCTTCATGCTTCTGTCACAGAAATATCTTTAAGTTGTATCAGAAAGTTTTAGATATTCCCCTTCTTTTTTACTGAGGCATAAAATATATACAGAAAAGTTCACAAAGTACACTAATCTTACAGTGGTATCTGAAATTTTACATGTGCCTGTATCTCTAAATACCAAGACTGGTAATATTAGCATACTCCCTTTTGAAGAACTCTGAAAGATAATTTCTATCCTATGGGAGGAAGTCAATCATCTTTTACCCTATATACTTATGGATTTTAAGCACAGAAGCCATTATATTGTGCCCTAAGGACTGATTCATTATAATGGAGATAGTATGATGATAAGTGGTTCTCCAGTGGCAGCCTGTCTGGAGCAGCTGCTGCCATCACATCAGCTGCAGCAAGGAGGTGCAGGCAGGTATGGCTGCACACTCCGTGGAGCCATTTAGAGCTGAGGCCAAGTGGGAGCCCTGGGAGCCCTACTCCTTCTGAGTTGGTCGGGCAGGAGCTCCCTGGGTGCAGCCCAAGTCATGGCTGCGGACCGAGGCCTCCTGCTCCACTGAGTAAGCAGAAGCTGCATCACTGCCCCAGCCCCACCATACCCTTGCTGTACAACTGCAGCCACTCAAATGGCAGTTGTGAACTCAAGCATCCTTGTACAAGAGTGCAAGGGGGCCCAGGAAGGCCCCCTCTACCTGCTTCTGCTGCCTGGCTTCTCCTTGCTGTCAGTCTTAGAGCAAAGTTGTGCAGAGCCTGGGTGCTGTCACAATCTAGCCGGATGTGCACATGCTTGGGCCAGTTTTGACATGCTAGGCTCCTGCTGCCTTGGCCCCCTCCAGACTTTGGGAACCAATGAGCATAGGAGAGAAGCCAAGGGGGAACTGGGAGCAGCTCAACACTGGCCTGAAGGTGCCCCTTGGCACCTACAGCCTGGATGCCATGAACAGCAGCAGGAGGCAGACAGGTTCCTGGGCAGAAGGTGCAGTCCCTGGTGAGGCCCTACCTTTGGGCCAGGTAGGGCCTGAAGGCTGGGGTTCAGGCTGCCATTCCCACAGACCAGAGTGGGAATTTATGATGCCTTTTCTGGGCCCACCCATGGCTGCCCATGGACCAATCAGTGTACACTTCCTCTCTGATGCCCATAAAAGCTCCAGGCTTAGCTAGAGCTGAGCAGACATCATACAACCAGCTACAGAGAGGAGACAACCAGGGTCTCCTCTCTGCTGAGAGCTGTATACGTTGGGATGACCAGCTGCAGAGAGGTACTACCCACTCCAGGGCCTCCTCTAAACTATTCTGTTACTCAGTAAAGCTCTTCTTCACCTTGCTCAACCTCCACTTGTTTGCATACCTTACTGTTCCTGGATGCAGGATAAGAATCTGGGACCTGCCCAATGTCAGGGCTGAAAGAGCTATAACACAAACAAGGCTGAAACATGCCCCTTGTTCACCACGTTGTGGGTGAAGAGAAGGAGAGAAGAACTGTGACTCTTCAGGGAGCCAAGGCCTGGGAGCTCCCCAAGCCAGGGCTGTGACTCCCTCTTTGGGGCCCTGTGTGTGGTTCCTGGAGCCTCCAAGCTCCCAGGCACCACTGTGTTCCCCAGTGGCAGCTGTGAAAGTTGCTTGCAGTGCACCTGATCTTAGCCATAGGCTTGCAGAGAGCCAGTGCCCATGCCAGCACCTGGAGCTGCCCACCCCGCTGCAGCAACTGGTCTGCCTGACTGTGTCCAGTGGCTGGACCCCATGCTGACTCACGCACACGCCTGTTGCCACTCCATTTCTGGCTCACCCTTGGCAGGTGTGGCATCCAGGCTGGTAGCATGAACCAAGTGCAGCCTGCTGAGCTGAGTGGATGGAACAAGCCTAGTGGGTCCAAACAAAACTTGGGCAAAGGCACCACCAGCCAGAGGTTTCCAGCCAGAAAAGTGACACTCCAAGGATCTTGCAACAGTTCAAAATAAAAGTAGAGACTGACTTGCTTTCTACATCCTATTTGATTCCAGCAGGAGCTAAAATTAGTATCTACAAGTTCTTGCTAATAGATACTGACAAATCCTGACTCAATGCCTGTTGGAATAAGGAGCACCCACAGGGAAAAACGTTAACACTAATGAAAGCGGTAAAGTAAGTTCTTAATTAAAAGAAAAAAGAGGAGTTACTCATTCAAATTTGCATTTTAAGTTGGCTTCATTGTACACTGTATAGCATATATATTAAATATATGACTGAAGTGTATTTCACTAGTCCCTACTTGATGAGCCACAGCCAAGCACTAATTAAATGAAAGTCCTTGGCTGTGGCTCACTGTAAAGTTTCATTAGTTTTTTCTTACTTTTGTCATTATCCTTAAGCTTATTTCATATACATTGAGTGTCCACAAATCAGATCTCCCTGAATGAAAGTCATTCTTAAAGGAAAGAAAGATGATGATTCTTTTTTCTACACTGCATTAGTCATGTGTCTTTCCCCTGGCCTGATGAAAAAAAAATTGTTTAAAAATATGTGTATTTTACCTTTGTTACCATTACTGTGTTTCATTGCATGTTACAGTTCTCAATTTGTCCTTTTACATTATCAGCTCAATTCAATTGGTCCATTTAATTTTGGACTATACATCTAAGAAAAAGGAATAATTAGTTTTGCTTTTTCAGAAAGGCCATTTATGAGGCCTCTGTGTTTATTTCTTCCATTAATTTCTTTTTTATTTCTTCCATTAATTTCTTCTGTCAAAAACTTTTTTTTTTTTTGAGACAAAGTCTCACTCTTTTGCCCCAGCTGGAGTACAGTGGTGCAGTCTTGGCTAACTGCAACTTCCGCCTCCCGAGTTCAAGTGATTCTTGTGCCTCAGCCTCCCTAGTAGGTGGGATTACAGGTACCCACCATGATTCCCAGCTAATTTTTGTATTTTTAGTAGATACGGGGTTTTGCCATGATGGCCAGGCTGGTCTCGAACTCCTGGGCTCAAGTGATCCACTGCCTCAGCCTCCCAAAGTGCTGGGATTACAGGTATGATCCACCTTGGTGGGCCAAAAACTTGTATAGCACTCTGTAACATGTCTTTTTTTTTTTTTTTTCCTGAGGCCAAGTTTGGCTCTTGTTGTCCAGGCTGGAGGGCAATGGCACAATCTTGGCTCACTGCAACCTCTGTCTCCAAGTGATTCTCCTGCCTCAGCCTCCCAAATAGCTAGGATTACAGGCGTACACCACTGTGCTCAGCTAATTTAGTAGAGATGGGGTTTCACCATGTTAACAAGGCTGGTCTCAAACTCCTGACCTCAAGTGATCCACCTGTCTCAGCCTCCCAGAGTGCTGGGATTACAGGCATGAGCCACCATGCCCTTTTTGTAGCACTTATTGTACTCTTTACCTACTCTGAGTCTATCTTTTTCAGATTGTGGGCTCCCCTGTGAGACATGACTTTATTTGAATTTTTATTACTGTATCCTCAGTAGGCCATCAGTGAATATTTTTTGAATTATATATACATTATTTAAGAGAATACTACCATCAGGGATAGGAATATTCAGCGTTAATAGTAGTCAATAATAAATATGACTGAACAGTTCCAGAAAGAAAGCATAGTTTGCTTACATTTTTAGAATAATTGCTTCAACTCTCTACTTCATTTTAAAACTTAGTCACTGTAGTGGGAGTTGAACAATAAGAACATATGGACACAGGGAGAGGAACATCACACACCAGGGCCGGCCGGGGGTCAGGGGCTAGGGGAGGGACAGCATTAGGAGAAATATCTAATGTAGATGATGGGTTGATGGGTGCAGCAAACCACCGTGGCACGTGTATACCTATGTAACAAACCTATACGTTCTGTACATGTACCCCAGAACTTAAGGTATAATTTTATAACTTAGTCACTGTTATAGATATTGTCCCATACAAAAATAACCTATAGTTTGAGAATACTTAATTTCCCAAATGCCATTTTCTCATCTATACATGGGATACAATTCCTCTGTATAGTGAATTGAGTAATACCTATCTTATCTACTTCTTAGCTTATAAAGTTCTTGGAGAAATATGGTTAAGTGTATGCATGTATTTTTATATTTTTAGGACAAATTCTTTGATATTTTAGTAAAATATCAGTTTAAAATGCTTATGCATCTTACTTTTCATTCTCTAGCCTGAAAAGATGCTTATGCAGTTATTTACACAATACCTTTTCTGTGCACAACATTGTACTAAATCCCAGTGAAAAAGAGAAATACTAAAACAAATTAGGTATAAGATACTGACTCCTCTTAAGGAGTTTATATAACTAGAGAAAACAAAAATTATTCAATTTATACATAGCATTTGACACGTGTAATAACATTAGGAAATTAACAGTATACAAATGAATGTAGAGATAAATACTGTAAGAGCTTAGAGGATGCAGATATGGTGTGGTCTAGAATGACTGGAAACAAATTAATGGATAAAGTAACATAATAGTTAGGTTCGAATGATAGGTACGATCTAAATTAGGTTGAGAAGCATTCCAAGTGAGAGGCATGGCATACCTACCTCTTAATTTGGGAATTAAGTTTAACATCATTTGCAGCATATTCAGATAGCAAGTGTTTCACTTTAGAAAATCATTGAATTCCCTAACCAATCAGGGATCTATTTCTTTAAATGTCCTCAGGCTCTAAATCCTGTGGAAGTTGCATTGGTGACATGGCACTCTGTGAAGGAAATGGTATTTGAAGGGGGTCCTCATCCATGGATCTTGGAGCCCTCCCGATTTTTTTTTGAATTGAGCGTGGAGAAGACAGAGAAGATTGGAATAGCACAAGTGTGGCTGCCATCTAAGAGAAAACAGAACCAGTACATCTACCGGGTCCAATGCCTGGATTTAGGGGAACAAGTAGGAAAACAGTCTTTTTATAACATTTTCTTTAGTATAATACTCCAAATGCTTTGTACTTTCAGCCATTCCTTTGGCTGAAATTCAGTCCACTGAATTTAGTTTATGGGCTAAATAGGAAAATCCTAATTATTGATCAAATGATTTTTTTTTCTAAAACCATTTCTCCAGAACTTCACCAACGCTTGTTATTTTCAGGGTTGTTGTTTTTTTTTTTTTTGAGACAGAGTTTTACCCTTGACACCCAGGCTAGAGTGTAATGCTGCAGTCTTGGCCTCCCAAAGTGCTTGGGATTGAGGCATGAGTTACCATGCCTGGCCTTATTTTCTTTTTTTTATAGTGGCCATCCTAATGGGTATGAGGTAGTATCTCATTATAGTTTTGATTTGCATTGTCTTTATGATTAGTGATATTGAGCATCTTTTCATATCTTTGGCCATCTGTATCTTCTTTGAAAAATCAAATCCTTTGCACTTTTTCTTGTTTTGAGACGGAGCCTTCTTGCTCTGTTGCCCAGGCTGGAGTGTAGTGGCACAATCGCAGCTCACTGCAACCTCCACCTCCAGGATTCAAGCAATTCTCCTGCCTCAACCTCCTGAGTAGCTGGGACTACAGGCGCATGCCACCATGCCTGGTTAATTTTTGTATTTTTAGTTTCACCTTGTTGGCCAGGCTGGTCTCGAGCTCCTGACCTCAGATGATCCACCGCCTTGGCCTCCCAAAGTGCTGGGATGACAGGCGTGAGCCACCGCGCTGGACCTTTGCCCATTTTTTGAATCAGTCTTTTACTATTGAGTATGATGTTAGTTGTGGGTTTTTCATATAAGGCTTTTATTATGTTGAGATAGTTTCCTTCTCCTAGCTTGTTGAGTGAGCTATTAGTGATTTGGGGCCTAATTAACCCCCATTTGAAGTTTCCTGACTTCTTTTTGTTTCCACATTCTGTTATTCATTAGTACTTCTACTACAGACAAGTTGAAACGTAAATTAGTTTTTTCACTTTTTATTAACTAGTAACAAAATATTTGGTGGAGGAAAAGACTGAAGTAATTGATCAAATATTTTTTTTTTCTGAAACAGGGTCTCACTATGTTCCTCGGGCTGGTCTCCAACTCCTAGGCCTAGCAAGCAATCCTCCTGCCTCAGACTTCGAGTTGCTGAGATCACAAGTGCATGCCACCACACTCAGTCAAAGTTAATTTTTTTTTTTTTTATTGAGACAGGGTCTTACTCAGTTGCCTAGGCTGGAGTGCAGTGGCATGAACATGGCTCACTGTAGCCTTGACCTCCTGGGTCAAGCAATCCTCCTGCCTCAGTCTCCCAAGTAGCTGGGACCACAGGCGTACACCACCATGCCTGGCTAATTTTTAAATTTTTTGCAGAGATGGGGTCTCACTATGTTTCCCAAGATAATCTTGAACTCCTAGGCTCAAGCGATCCTCCACCTCAACCTCCCAAAGTGCTGGGATTATAGGCATGAACCATTTTGCCTGACCTAGATTTTTTTTTAATGTTCCCCTTGTTTTCAAATTTTAATGATATTATTAATGCCGTTTAGCATAGATAATTAAGAAATATAATGCCTTTAAGGGATTTGCTGGATTATAATGTCGAAAGGGACTCTCGATTCTGGAATTTGAGTAATTCTAACACATTTATATTGGCATGACTGACATCAAGTATCTACCCACAATTATCTCTTGCTCTGATATTTCCTTAAAGGTTCTCACATTCCAAATTGGAAATCACCCGGGTGTCCTGAACCCTAGTCCAGCTGTAGAGGTTTTGCACGTTCGCTTCATATGTGCCCACCCTGCTAGTTTGTCAGTAACACCAGTATACAAGGTGCCAGCTGGTGCCCAGCCATGTCCTCTGCCACAGCACAACAAACAACTGGTAAGTACAGAGTATGCTTCCAACTAAGTTGGCACTTTTTTCTTCCATGCTTTAGAGATAGAGTCTGGAATTCTTTGAGGTATATATCCAGAAATGGAATTGCCAGATCACATGGTAATTCTATTTTTGATTTTTTGAGGAAGCACCACACTGTTTTTCACAGCAGCTGTACCATTTTACATTCTTAACAACAGTGCACAAGGGTTCCCATTTCTCCACTTATCAACATTGAATGAACTATTTATTCATTACTCATTTTCTGATAGTGTCTGAGAAGAGGTAATTAAACTAGATTAGAATTGGCTACACTTGTTTACTATACTTAACTACATAATCAGCTTGTGATTATGGCAGTAGATAATTGAGATCTATCTAAATAACTTCTAAATTTTGCTGATATCCTTCCCTACCAAATCTTTTATTAAGAATATTAATAAGTAATAAAATGTATCTCTTCTCCAAACCAATCATGAAGAATAGTGATAATAATATAGCTACTAAGTAGGCAACAGGGTATGAAAAATAAATGAGTTATCTATCCTAGAGAGTAGAACATCAGATTATATAATATACAATGTTGAGTACAGTCCAAGCTTGGGAGCATATAAGTCATTACGTAGCCTATGCAGAACAGAGCATCAATTAGTTATTCTCATTTTCCAGATAAGAAACCAAGCCTCCTAAAAGTTGATTAATTTTCTCAGTCATAAAGTTGGAAAAGAACACATTCCAGCTGACTCCAGAGCAGATGTTATTTATGCTATACTGCTTTTTAGTATGAAGAACAACAGTATGGGATGTTAGGTTGTGAACCCATATTTTTTAGAGTCAGACTGCACATTAAGTATTATTTGAAGTTTATGAAAAAGTTACATTTTTTAAAGCCTTCTGAGTGGAGCAGAATAAAAGTTACCCCTATAACATTATTGGCATTCAATGGCATTTTTCTTTTTATTTGAAATAATTCAAATTTACAGACAAGTTGCAAGAAAAGAACTTTTTTCCCTGATCCATTTGAGAGTAAGTTACAGCAGCATGACTCTCCATCACCCTATTGACATACACTAGCATATATTTATTTTTAAATTGAGATATAGTTCACCCTTTTTTTTTTTTGGAGGCAGGGTCTCACTCCAGTCACCCAGGCTGGAGTGCATGGCACTATCATGGCTCACTGCAGCCTCAACTTTCCCCAGTCAGGTATTTTCCCACCTCAACCTCCCAATTAGCTGAGACTATAGGTGTGTGCCACTATACTGGCTAATTTTTTGTATTTTTAGTAGAGATGGGGTTTCACCATGTTGTCCAGGCTGGTCTCAAACTCCTGAGCTCAAGGGATCCACCCACCTCGGCCTCACAAAGTGCTGATATTAGAGGTGTGAGCTACCGTGCCCAGCAGACCACCCTTTTAAACTGTTCAGATCAAAGTCGTGCAGCCATCGCTGCTAACTTCATATCATTTTCATTTTCTTCATTACCATGTGACTCCATACCCATTAGCAGTCACTTCCTATTTCCTCCATTTCCCGGCTTCTTTCATTTCACATGTTTTCAAGTTTCATTCATATGGTAGTCTAAATCCATAGTGCACTTTTATGGCTAAATAATATTCCATTGTATAGATATACTACATTTTGTTTATCCAGTTGTCAGTTGATGGATATATATGTTGTTTCCACCTTTGGCTGTTATGAATAATGCTGCCATGAACATTCATTTACAAGTTTTTGTGTGAATATATGTTTTCATTTCTCTTGTATATATAGCTAAGAGTGGAATTGATGGTTTATATCTTAATTCCATACTTAGCCTTTTTAAGAACTTCCAGCTGTTTCCAAAGTGGCTGTACCATTTTACATTTCCACTAGCAGTGTATGAGGCTTCCAGTTTCTCCATATCTTTGCCAATTATTGCTATTATTTGTCATTTTGATTATAGCCTTTCTAGTGGGTATAAAGTGGTATCTTATTGTGGTTTTGATTTGTATTTCCCACCGTCTAATTATGTTGGGTATTGTATATATATATATATATATATATATACACACAGACACATATATATACACACACACATACACACACTTATTTATTTATTTATTTATTTGTTTATTTTGAGATGTAGTTTCACTCTTTCACCCAGGCTGGAGTGAAGTGGTGCAATCTCAGCTCACTGCAACCTCCACATTTTGGCTTCAAGTGATTTTCCTGCCTCATCCTCCTGAGTAGCTGGGATTATAGGCATGTGCCACCATGCCTAGCTAATTTTTCTATTTTTAGTAAAAACAGGGTTTCACCATGTTGACTAGGCTGGTCTCAAACTCCTGACCTCAGGTGATCCACCCACCTCAGCCTCCCAAAGTGTTGGGATTACAGGGATTATAGGCGTGAACCACGGTGCCTGGCCTATGTTTTGTATCTTTTTATGTGCTTATCGGACGTTTGTGTATCCTCTTTTGACAAATGCATATTCAGATTCTTTGCCAATTTTAAATTGAATTATATGTCTTTTTATTGATTGTAAGAGTTCTTCATTTCATATTTTCTACATACAACTCTCTTTTCAGACACATGATTTGCAAAAAATGTTCTCTCATCACATGGGTTATCTTTTACTTTTTTTTTTTTTAAGACACAGGTCTAACTTTGTCACTCAGGCTGAAGTACAATGACATGATCATAGGTCACTGTAACTTCCAACTCCTGGGCTCAAACTATCCTGTCATCTCCGCCTCCTAAATAGCTCGGACTACAGGCACATGCCACCACACCCAGCTAATTTTTTTTTTTTTTTCTGTAGAGATGAAGTCTCACTATATTGCCCAGGCTGGTTTCAAACTCCTGGCCTCAAGTGATCCTCCAGTCTCAGCCTCCCAAAGTACTGGGATTACAGGCATGAGCCACCATGCTTGGCCTCACTTTTCTAATGACATCTTTTGAAACACAAAGTTTTTAACTTTAATGATATCCAATTTATCAATTTTGTTACTATAGTTGTTTGTACTTTAGGTGTTATATCTAAGAAATTGTTGCCTAATTCAAGGGCAGGAAGATTTATGCCTTTGATTTATTCTATGAGTTTTATAGTTTTAGCTCTTACATTTAGCTCTCTGATCCACTTCGAGTTCATTTTTATGGTGTGAGGTAGGGATCTAACTTCGTGTGTGTGTGTGTGTGTGTGTGTGTAAGACTGAGTCTCGCTCTATTGTCTGGGCTGGAATACAGTGGTGTGATTTCGGCTCACTGCAATTTCTGCCTCCCAGGTTCAAGTGATTCTCATGCCTCAGCCTCCCGAGTAGCTGGGCTTACAGGTGCCTGCCACCACACCCGGCAAATTTTTGTGTTTTTAGTAGAGATGGGATTTCACCATGTTGGTCAGGCTGGTCTTGAACTCCTGACCTCAAATGACCCACCTGCATTGGCTTCTCAAAGTGCTAAGATTACAAGTGTGAGCCACTGCTCCCAGCCTAACTTCATTTTTTTTTACATACTGATATCCATTTGACCCAGCACCATTTGTTAAAAAGATTATTCCTCATCCCTTGAGTTGTCTTGGCATTCATATTGCAGATCTATTAACCATAAACATGAGAGTTTATTTCTGGACTCTGAAATCTATTCCATTAATCCGTATGTCATTATGCCAGTACTACACTGTCATGATCATTATAGCTTTGTAGTAAGTTTTGAGGTTTAGGAAGTGTGAATTTTGCAATTTTGTTCTTTTTCAAGATTGTTTTGGCTATTCTGGGTTCCTTCCATTTCCACATAAATTTTTAGGGTCAGCTTGTCAATTTCTGCAAAGACACCAGCAGAGATTGTGATAGGGATTACATTGAATCTGTAGATCAGTTTGAAGAGTGTTGCCATTTTGATGATATTGTCTTTCGATTTATGAACATGAATGTCTTACTGTTTATTTGTATCTTTAATTTCTTTCAACAATGTTTTCTGTTTAGAGTATACAAGTTTTACATTCCTTTTATTAGATTTATTCCTAAATATTTGCTTTTTTGATGCTATCATAATTGGAATTTTTTTCTCTAATTTTATTTTTAGGCCAGGCGCTGTGGTTCACGCCTGTAATCCTAACACTTTGGGAGGCTGAAGTGGGTGGATCACCTGAGGTCAGGAGTTGAAGACCAGTCTGGCCACTGTGGCTGGCAACTTACTGGTTACTTAGGAGTGTTTTGTTTAATTTCCACACATTTGTGAATATTCTAGATTTCCTGTTACTGATTTCTAACTTCACTCTATTGTGGTTAGAGAACAAACTTAAATTTAAATCTCTCTTTCTCTTTTTTTTTTTTTTTTTTTTTAAAGAAATATGGGGGCTGGGCACGGTGGCTCACGCCTGTAATCCCAGCACTTTGGGAGGCCGAGGCGGGTGGATCACGAGGTCAAGAGATTGAGACCATCCTGGTCAACATAGTGAAACTCCATCTTTACTAAAAATACAAAAAATTAGCTGGGCATGGTGGCGCATGCCTGTAATCCCAGCTACTCTGGAGGCTGAGGCAGGAGAATTGCCTGAACCCAGGAGGCGGAGGTTGCGGTGAGCCAAGATCGCACCATTGCACTCCAGCCTGGGTAAGAAGAGTGAAACTCCGTCTCAAAAAAAAAAAAAAAGCAAAGAAAGAAATATGGGTCCTGGCTGGATGCAGTGGCTCGTGCCACTTTGGAAGGGTGAGGCAGCACTTTGGAAGGGTGAGGCAGGTGGATCACTTGAGCCCAGGAATTTGAGACTAGCCTGGGCAACATGGCAAAACCCCATCTCTACCAAAAATATAAATATTAGCCAGTCTCACAACCCATTCTCAAAATAAATAAATAAATAAACAAACAGATAACATTTAAAAAAGTAAAGAGGGGTTTCAACCAGCCTGGATAATAAAATGAGTTCTTGTCTCTACAAAAAATTTAAGGCCAGGCACAGTGGCTCATGCCTATAATCCCAGCACTTTGGGAGGCTGACGTGGATGGGTCACTTGAGGTCAGAAGTTT